AACGTGGCGCACGCTCAACGGGAAATGCGGGAGCGGTGAGGACCGGTCGCCGGGAATGCTGGGGGTGTTTCATGATGTTTGCGGGCACGAGGAATCGAGGGAGATTTTGGGGGAAAATTGTGCGAGGTATTCAGATGATAGGAATGAAAGTAATTTGAGTGAAAGTAACACCAACGACGGAAATGTAGATGCAACGAACAGATTTTTTAGTCATGTGTTAATATGTGTGAATGGCAATGCTGCGGGTTATATTTTTCAGAATCTGCTGAAAATATTCGTGTCACAGATTTTTTATATTCCTCACGAATCTATAGTTTCTGTCTTCGAGATCAGTGTACGTGAATGATACTGTAGCAAATAATTTTGAAGATTCTCAAGTATCAAGTAGAATATAGATGCATTTTAATGTTAATGGATTGCGGATCTGTACGCGAAATCGAATGCTTAAACTATCAATATCAACGGTTATGATGTCAAATGCTGATAAATACTAGAAACAGTATATTTTCATTTCGTATATCTCTTCGTATCGAATTGCATCTTGTGCAACTTTGCATTCTCGGATTTTAAATACATAAAAATCCGCAGTCTGTTAATCACTTTCATAACATCACTTTGTGTTCCCCACAGGCTCGTTTTGCGGTAGGTTCTTCTTGTTTATTTTTAAAAGGGCTACTCACGGAAATGCTTTCAACGGATATCTAAGGCAAAAATCGAGCTTTTAATGTTTTTAATCTATTGCTCGCAGCAACGGCGAGACCTCTCTTTCCCCGGTTCCAATTTTCGCGGGATATTCTTTGAAAACACGAATGTTTGATGAAACGTCTTTTCTAATTTCCCGTGAATCTCTTTTCACAACAGATAGCGTTAAGGGCGTTCGCCCGAATGAACCCGGCTCAGCTGTACAGCGAGATGATAATGAAACGACTTCTGCCCGGGTGTATATACGCGGACAGCTTTTATGTAAACATTTCGCGCAGCTTTAGATCCCGAAAGTCGCGAATGACAATTGCCCCGGAGCGGTACACTGTCGGCCCGAGGACCATATTTTGATGAAGCTTCGCGAATATGTACCCAGCTCGGATCGCGAATCGCGGAAATCCCGGTTCTAATTGAGAAACTTCTTTTGCAGCATCCCATTGACTCCTAAAAAGGCGCTAATTAGAAAACTCGTGCGTTCCTCGAAGTCACGCGTCAGATCTTTTTTCCACTTTTCTTCCTTTTCACGTTGCTTCGTGCCTTTTCGCGTGTCGCGCCCGGTATCCGCGAGAATTTCGCCAAAACTCATTGTTAACCCATCGAACGCGAAAGTTTTTCGTCGGAAACATTCAACGTCTTCTGATGAGGTGTACTTAAGATTTTTTGAAACTAACGATATGTCGCGCATGAATTAAAGAATCAAGCTATTTTATTTCAATATTTCACGCATCGATGCATTATGCAAGGTTTAACGCCAAATATCAAATATTATAATTTTGCTCTATTAAATCGTGTGAAAATTCAGTGGCGTCTCTCGTGGGCAAAGGGTTAAAAACTTGAAACCTTGATCCTTTGCGGAATAAAAATATTCAAACTTTAGTTCCGCGTGCAACTGCATTTTACATACTCGCGAAACTGGATAGCGAGCCTTCGGGCGAATTTGTATTTTGAGAGAGGATTTTGCGCGCTTTATTATTTTCACGAGTACCTGACCGGTATGAGTGTCATGAATGCGCGACGCCTGTTGTTCAGAATGAACGGACGAAGTAATTAGTAATGTAATAAAAGAGGCATTTGAACAATGACGAGGAATGTGGTGCGTTGTTCGTCAAAATTAATGGGTTGTGAGTCTGAAAAGAGGGATGACAGTGGTACATAGGAGTTCATATAGTGTTCCGTGCTGTTTATAATGAATGTGTTTCGATAAAAGGATCAGTAAAAAAATGGAATGGAATATCATATTACTTTACGAAATAATATGGGAGCAGTAAAATTCTTTTATAAATAACTCTCCGAGAAGATTCAATTTCTCCAATAAAATCCTGCAATGTTCGAACTGGACTTTTTTTTCAGATCCCAGATTTTTACATTTCTAAAAATGTTCCATCAGTCTTTACCGAGTCTATAAAGCAAAAGAGATAAAAGAATGCTTCGTATGAGGTACGTTTCATTTATAAAATAACAGTTCATATTTTAGCGAATACAGGTTCGTGCCTGTGCTTCAGAAATTTATAAGAACGTACATTTTTATAGAATAATTGATACGGCTAATAAGGTTCTACAGATGGACCTACTAAATTCTTTAAAGAACTCTTATAATCCTTGACCTCGGTTTCAGTTATTTTCGTTTCTTTTCAGATATCACCAGAGAATTCTCTTGAGAAACGTCCAATGTAGAAGCTGATATACTTTTTACGATATTCCGGCTCATTTTTACGATCCTGAGTAGACTACGAAATCTCTAGTTCCATGGGACCCAGATCGGTATATACACGTGAATATGTAATTCCCGTGCATACATGTACGCGCACTGGTTCCAATTAACTTGTCAATGACTCGTTGCCAAACGGGAAACTTGCGCGTTAAGCTCTTCAAGACTGATGTATACTTTATAATCCATTAGCTCGAAGAAACTTAGAGATCCAAATTATCCGTCACCTCGAACTTCAGATACAGAATGAAAAATGCGTTTCATCGATAATTTGCAAGCTCTGATAACTTCATTTGATACCCTGCCTTTAACTCATTTGCATCACACGAAAGAATGAAGTATGCCATTGTTATTAAAGTTCATTTTATTACATTCGAATGATTAAAGTAGATATAAATATATAGATCATGATATAAGATCATAATAATATGCAGATGAATTAAATTCAAGCTTCTAACTTACAATAACAGGAACAGCAAGAATTTCATGAGACTGAATGAAAATACAACAGAAACTCAGGGATGAAGCAATTAATCCCCTATGGGATGGAGTTAGTAAGAAGTTATCGAAGAATTAAATAAATAATTACCCGAGACCGTTTCCTTCCTGATGTCAGCGTACTGCTCGTTCACGGGGTAGCTCGGAATGGTTGAATAGCAGCTGATTTCCAAGTACCCATTCTCGCCGGCATGCAACGCGGACACCTCTATCATTAACTTCGCAGTCGCGGACATCAGTTGGTCATTGTGCCTCGTGTACGGATAATGATTCACCAAAGCGATATCTACCTAATAGAACGAACACAATACGCGCTGAATAAGAATATTGAATTCGGCGCGGAAACTATATTTCCACTGTTAATCAAAATGACCGACGGCTGACTTCTACAAAATGGCTGCCTCCTGACCGCGTGTGACTCAATACTCTTCAGTGGATTATTCGTAACGCAAGGAAACCAAAATATAGATATTATTAAAACAAATGATCTTTTCATTATGTGCACTACCAGTGAAGAACGTGGAATCGATAATCGATTTTCCAATATTTCTTATATTATATATTTGGATTTTGCGCACAGATAGTTTTGTCTTTCAATATTTATAGAATAATACAATTACTTGTTTATTGAATTATCGGATCGCTATATTTAGAATCAATAAAAGGAAGGACAGATGAAGAATTTTCAATTATTCATGTTCACTTAGAGGACAGCAACTGACATTTACGGACAGTTATAGGTCCAGTATACTTTTCAAATGTAAGTGTTGAAATTGAAGAAGTGGAATAATGATAAATCGTTGTTTAAATTTACCTCCTCGCCGTTTATGAACCATGTCAACTGAGGAACTGGATGCGCAGCCGACGAGGTACAATTCGCCTCAAGACTTTCGCCAACCACGTACATGCTTTTCTTGAACGTGATCTTCGGGTTTTCAGTCTGTGGTTCTGTACAATTTCAAAACATCCATTTATAAATGTATAATTATGATTATTCTAGTAACACGTGACGGTGGCCTTCACGGGGCTGGCGACAATTTAAACAGATTCTAATTCCAAATTGGTATTCCGATTAATGATCACGCGTTAGAAATATTCGTATAAACTCTCGCCGAACGAAAATTCGATTGAACTTAACTTCTATCGTGAATCCGGCAATTAATTCTCAGCTTTAATCGTCCGATTCGCACAACACTAAACTGTGCTCGGTAAACAATGGATTATAAGCTTCGACAAACGCGCAGTCGTTGACCTTTACGAATAGATTTCATTCATGAAATTTTGATTAAACCAATGCATAATATTTACTGTTTCGCCGAGCACCGACACCTTTATCGTGTCAGTCGAAATGACTGGAAAATAACTCGCGTTCCGAACAACGGGATTGCACGCTGCATATCTTCCCTTAAATTAGGTTAATGAAACTATTCTTTCCCGGGTGAACGTAAACACACACGCTCGATATATATTCATGCGATCGCAGGAATTTAAGCTGACAAACAGTCCGACAGAAGCGTGGTATTTTATCGCGACTTTTTTTCACGTTACAGTCAGAACGATTGCATAATTAATCGATCGGACAACAAAGAAGTGGGCAGGCTTTATTGCTCGACTTTTTCACCGACCGGTTGATAAATCTTAATTGGATAACTGCGCGGTGCGAACGTCGGAATATTAATTCAGTATTTGAACGTCTTTCTGCTCGCGCAATAAGAAGTCATTTTTATCGTTACACGCCGCAATTCGAATGAAAACATACTGAATCATTTACAAACATCTTTGCATTCTTAGTCCGAGAAATCTTTCGACGGTTGGTGAGAAGGTGGCCTATTTCATAATATACTTGACAATTAATATTCATAGCGATATATGACGACTGTTCATCATTTTGAAAGCTTATCCAACAGTCATCGTGTTACAGACAAGCTACAGTAGAATGTACACAGTCCACGAAGTCCAGTCTGGACTAGCCCACTCGAGACCAATTACACTCCAGGTGACTAATACAACACGTAACCGAAAAGACCAAACACTCACCGTGCATGTAACAATTATTTTCTACTTTCAGTAAAGGACTAGCCACAAAGATCAGATCCTCTCGTGAATAAACTAAAAATTAAAGGTATCCAAAAATGAAAACTAGCGCTGGTTTCAGGATAAAATACCAAGAAATGTCACTCAAAAAACGAATACAAATCAAAATAATGATTCCGAGTGAATTTTGCGTCTTGAGGACCGTCCTCCAGAAGAACCCTGGTCCCAGATGGGCTGGCCTTTACCAGATCCGGACAAGCTTCTCAAGAGTTCGGGACTTTTGAAGGAAAACGGAGCGGCGTGCTACTTACCTATGACTTTCATCGAAACGGGTTCGGATGCCGCGGTATAAATAGGAGTCGACGTCGAGACCTGACAGGAATACGAACCAGACGCCTTGAAGCGAACGTCCGTTAGTTTGATTGTCGTGCCATTTTCCAAGTACTGTAAACAAATAGCGCACCGTTTCAGACGTCGATTGTGTTTAAAGCCGGGTCGTTACCTAACGCCCCTTAAACAACCGCGCCGGCACGCCGCGTACTCTTTCAGAACCGTACCGCCATTGTTCCCCGGGGCTTTATTATTGCCTCCCACATGGCAAAGCGCACTCAAGGGAGGCGTATCGATCCGTCAAAAATGGATCGAACGGATGGCCCGATCGCGTAGGTGTTAGAGGATAGCTGTCCAAGCCTTCTTCAGCTGATCGCGGTAGGTGGGGCTCAAGCGTTACGGTCTCTTCCGACCGATCGCTAGATAGAACTCGGTTCAGTACGTACTTGAGATTCTCAATCGCTTTATTAGGTTACCGGGCAAGTGATTCGCCGATTCTCACTCGAAGCGTTCGACCTGGTGTTATATTAACGCTAGAACTACCGAGCACTCAACCCCTGGCTTCAGAATATTGTGTCAGACTTGTGACGGAGGTTTCAAGTACTGTTTAACAAATGTAAATGGCATTCCTTTGAGTTCTAATGGAATATTATCTTTCTTGTTACTGATTCGTATGGCTTAGAGTAAGTTAGATATAGAAAGAGTATGGAATTTGTTGCTTTCCTAATTGAATCGTAGGGCGAGGGGTTAAATTGACTTTTTAGAATTTCTTTATGGATACTTTAACAGTGTGTTTATTAAGATTCTGAGTGCTTTATATTTCAGTTTGCGTGTTACTGTATCGTATGCTTCAATAACTTTTCGAAAGAGTATGGATACATTTTCAGTAATTGTGAGAGAAATCAGGAATGAGTCATTTTGAATCATCTGGTAGTTCTAGTGTTAATTGCAGGAAGACCAGACGTCTTGTCTACGGAGATAAGCGATTATTTCTGAAGATTTGGTTTCTTTTGCTAGTGTTAGATTATTTATTGAGTTGTTTAGTGAAGGGACTCGGAAGACTATTTCCGTACACAGGGGATACTAACAGCCCCTTGCTGCACCTTTTCCTGCGCAGCACTATGTACACTAAGTATTAGCGGTGTTTACGCTTAATTACCGAGATATTTGACTTCGCGAGTTCGAAAGACGAATCGCTTTTTATAAATTTTTTGAAACGAAAATAACGAGAATATCAAACCTTGCACATGGATTTATTAACGTTCATAGAAAAATACGATAAATATTGGTTATATAATTCCATTGTATACGAAAGTCCACTGTTGCGAGCTACGGTGACGAATAACCGCCATAAAAAGGTTACGCACGGACGGAGAATGAAAGTTCGAAACGTGAGCTATACGCGTTTTTTTTTGTTCTAGAGTGCACCGCTATTATTCCAACTAAAATAAAATGGACAATCAAAAAATTGTGTGAGTGGCGGCCATTGAAACGAAAAACTTGATAATTCCATAGCTTCATAAATCTTCCTCTTGGTAAATTAACAAAAATAACATACACGTTATTCTAGCCTACACGGTGCAAGGTGTTCACGTGCAAGTTTCATGAAAGATCGATGCTACTAATCGTTTCGAAGAAATCACGGTCGTTGCTTTAAAAAATGCAGCATGTAGAGGAGAGACTGAAGTTTTCACTTAGGCTTAACGACACTCGCATGCCACCAGCGCAAATACCTTTCAACGTCATAGAAACTTCGAATTTTCACGAAATCTTCAAGGAACAACCACATAAATCTTCAAAGATTAAGACAATGCAAACTTTGACTCGCGGCAAGGGTGGCAATGCAGTTTCTCTGCACTCTCCAAAATGTTCACTTTGCATTGCGACATTGACGTCGTCTTGCTGAAATTAACCGTGCAACGTTTATCTGCGAAAATGATCGAGAAAAGGGCAGTAATAGAGTATCGAACGTTCCAAACTAAAATTGTTAAAGAAAGGATATTTCGAAATGCGTCACTGTAAATACAGTATCTTGTTCCTCTGCCCTCCACCGATTCCTAAATAGAAGATGGAGGCCGGGTGGGAACGCACCCTTAAGCTCGCAAAAATAGAAATATTCATCCGGCGGAAATAGGAAGTGTCACGAACCACGTGCCCGTTTTTATTATTAACATTGCATGTTACGGCGCACGTGCTCGTCCAGTCAACTCCCCGTCCCAACATTGTGTCCCGTTGTTATGCCCGGACTACGTCTGTGTCACTCGCAATCCCAATTTTCCTGGTGAAACTCGTTCCCGTCCTCTGCTAGGTATCCTTCTAGTAACTCCAGATTGCTTAGTCTCTTTAATGGAAATCGATGTACTTATCTGATTCCTTATTAGGGGATGTACAGAGTATCTATAAATTCTTTCCTTGACTCATCCGAATCTTACCGTAGAAAGCACGCTGATTTCCGGGGATCCGATAAAATGGAAGCAACACGTCCGCAGGAACGCTTTGCATTACAAGATTAACGTGGTCACCGATGACTAATTTTACTTGAAAACAATTGCAAGAAGAAAACTGATGTATCAAAATATTTAGTTACATAGATACCGTCAATTACTAGCAACCTGGCACTCGTGACGTCATAGGGGCGGAGAGAGTCGCTCCAAGAAATCCAATAGCGGTGGGCGTGAGAGCCTTAGCCAATCAGGCGTGCACCTTCGAATCTGAACACTTAGACGAGAGTGCCAGATTCGCTGCAACGAACTATAGCTAAATAATAGTGTACCTTAAGAGCTATGATAGCAAATCATTGTTAATTAATTCTAATGCGTTTGTTATGGTACGATAAGTGATCTTATACGAAACGCTATAAATTCTCGTGGCGGCCAACGCGTTAAACGGGCACGTTCAGCTTTTCGTTTTGTATTCTGCTTGTGAGATGTACCTCCAAAGTAGTCTGTATTCTTGTGTCATTAACACTAGACCTACCGAGCAGTTAAAACTTTAATCTGAAGTGCTAATTTTAATTTGCGTATCGCCTAATCGACTGCTCTAATTTCTGACAGAAGCATGTACGCGGAAAGAATAAATAATTACGATCGAAGAAATCGGTGAAATAAGTCATTTACACGCATTCAATGGTTCCACCGTTAAAATGCATAGTCTCCGGACGGCGCAACAAATCACCCGAAAGTTTCAAGATAACAACAATAACCGAGTTTTAACCGCGTGGCAATCGGTAAACACAACGTCGGGCGAACGGACGATAATTGAAATAACAGTCACGTAAATGGCGGGGCGCGGTTTAATTGCTGTCGAAACGCCCGACAATTTTAATGAGTAGATCGCAGATTTTACGCGCGTATAATGAACCCGAATCCGCAGGAAGCGGGAGAAATGGGTGCAGTAAAAATATTTTACAATACATGCGACTGTGCGCGCAATTTTATCGCGACCTGTGTGCACGAAGTCGAGCTTCGCGAAATCACGAGAAGCAGCGCGGACCAATGCATTGGAAAAGGAAAACGGTGCGGCGAGGCATACATAATATTACTTATCCGATAAGGGATCGGGCGTGACGTGACGAATTGCGATCGCGGATCCGTTTCGGTCGGCCATGTTTCCGAAACAACCGGGGAACAGAGAGATCTCGCCGCGCAACCGCGACGTCAAAACAAATTTAATATTGCCGTGTAGGTACGCGTCACGGAGCATACATTGCGCGACATAATATTAGATAAGAACACGGTTTAACGCGCGAGGGTAATATAAAGGGAACTCCGCTTTGCAATATCCGCTCGGTGAACCGTAACGCAAACTGAACGTACGAGATCGCAATTTCTGGTAGTAGAAGGCAAAGCCAATGCCGCGGCATTATGAAGTAAGATTGGACAACGCAGAGGAAACAGCCAGTTGTTTATCGTTGCCGGGGATACCAAATTTATTTTACAACCCCGGAACGCGTGGAACTTACATTGGATCGTGGCGAACGGGACGGGAGAGAGATTACGGCGGGAAAAGGAAGAATAACAGCGTTGACTGTAATTATTATATCAAACGCCTGAGAGGGTATTGTGAATAATACAAGATTCAAAGATCATGCGTGGAAATTTGTTACCGAAGAATATAGAACGAGCAATGAAATTGAAATAATCAAAATTGCATTAATGAACTATACCAGAGGGGAGAAACAATTATCGAAAGAAAATTATATTTGCCGATTTCGCAAGGTGAAGTGGAAATTTCGAGAAATGTAGTAATCAAAGTTGCAATATTAAACTTTACATGGTGGACGAATAATTATCGAATAACCTTTGTCAAGCGAAAGAAGATAATTCTATTTATCGATCTCATCTGCCGCAGTGAGAATTTGAAGAAGTTTGAATAAGGATTGGGATTGTACCTGCTGGACAAATAATTATTAGATAAAAACGTTTGTCAAGCGGAAGAGGATAACTCTATTTATCGATTTTACCTACTGGAGTAAGAATTCAACACTAGAAGGTTTCAGTTTCCTTATTTCGCAATTACGGATGTCTTCAGAGTGTCAAAAATACGAAATGGTTCTAAAAATAAATAGTTCCGCTTGAATACTATAATGAACACATGACTGTCATAAAAATTACATATTAATCATATCAAGCGCTCGGTAGTTCTAGTATTAAAGAAGATTAAACAGCTGAAACTGAAATAATCGAAGCTGCAACATTAATCCTTAGCACTCCAGATGGTTTTCTAACCTGTCAGCAACTCCAGCCGATCTGTATAGTACCCCTACCGAAAATGAACAATATTATAACATTTCTTAGATCCTTTATTTTCCTTCTCAGTACAACATTTGGATATGCAGAAAATCTAATAATCTTAGGGTAGTTTCTTGCAGATTCATTAAAATATTTAATATTATAACCGGTGCAATATTGGAGTCTACAAAGTGCAAAGAGTTAAACTGTACGAACCGGGCAAATGATTATCGAACGTTCGCCGAGCGGAAAAAGATAATTTTATTCACTGTTGACAGGTCGAACTAGCTGGCACTCGAGTCGCCCGCTGCCGAACCGTGACGTTCACCCGGCCGTATTATCGTCGCCGGACATATGTGTCACGGGGAACAGAATAAACAGAACAGACACGTTTAGCGGACGATAAAGTGTATGCGTCACTTTTTCTAGGTTACTCTTGACGTTCGGGGCGCAACGCGGGTTGTAGCGCAAGGTAAATCGCGCGATACACGGAACCCGCGAAATGCTATTTCTACTCGCAACTCGATACACCGCGTTCCCAGTGCTCCCGTTTTTCTCCCGCGCCGTTGTAGAACGAGCGTGTACACGAAATGATGGAGGAACGCGCGGACAACGCCCGTGCGTCGATGGAAATTACAAGAATGAATCAACCCCCGCGCTATTCCGATTAACTCGTCGATCAACGCGTTGACTGCCACGAGGAATTGCAGTGTTTCATGTATCACTTACGCTTTGGTGGCAAGGATACAAAGGAACAATTGCCAATTATTTGGTACCGCGTTTCTTAGATTGGACCGTTATCTAGTTATTCGCGCCATTGAATATCTGTATTCGACGTCAGTTATCTTACGAATCGTAATTGTTTTCAAGTAATTGCAAGTTCCGCTCGTCGATGACCACCGTGGCAGTCGACGTGTTCACGCGTTGAAACTGGGTCGCGGAAACTTATGGACATTCGGGTTTTCAAGTCGTCGTCACTGTTTCGAAGTTTTCGTTACATTGAAATCTACTTTCATTATTAACCTTTTGCACTGGATAAGTGACTCTCGGCCGTCGCTCGATTTGATACAGCGAAATTATAAAGTTTAATATTGATGTTAATTAATATTGAACTCCGGGTAATGTGTCGATATATGAAATACAGATAGTTCGGTCCCTTAATTTGTGTGTGAATTATCGCTAAGCTATAATCTGAAAATGTTGAATATTTCTAGTGAAACATTGTCGAGTGCAACAGATAAACCCTTAACAAGCGAAACAGACTGCCATTGTCCTCATTAGACGATAGAACCTGTTTGGTTGGGAATAAATTCCAAAATGTTACCAGTAATAAAGAAATTTGAAATGCGTGAGAATTTACGTCGACAGTTAAATAAGTTTATTTTCATCGTTAATCGTGTCAATAAAAAATGGTACGGAAACATCGTTGAGCTTCGCTGAAGTTATTAGTTTATTCTAGCGAGGTGCGCTTGTAATTCCATGTAGTCTGTAGTCTAATTACAAAGTTCCGGAAGGACATTACGAAAAGCGTTACAGCCCGTGAAGTACGGCTGGAGTGCTAAGTAGAAAAGACGCGATATAGTCCGACATCGCCGTTAATGTTACACACATGTAGAACGGGTGAGCGAGTAAACTGTCAAGTAGAACAAGTGCGTAAGCCGTTAAGCGAGGAGAATGGGTCGATGATTTGGCTGACCAGTAGAATGACCGTGTAATCGATCAGACGTCTCGATACGATACCTGTTTTCGCGTGAGAATAAAGTCTGTTGTCGATCGGATAATGGACAATCCCTTCACGAGTTGAATCACGTCGTTCAGACTTTTCACTGTTGCCTGTAAAACCTTCAATATTATCCAAGTTCAATTTAAATAACTGGAACTGAATACAAATACTTATTCATAATTGTAACATTCTGAACAAAGTCTCTTTCCTACTACTTCGAAATTGTTCAATACTTATATTCGTAGACACCCTTTGCACTCCAGAAATTTGTCACCAGAAATATTTATTTTTATGAGATATAGATGACGTTTTTTTAAACTAACTTAACGAGGAATCTATTCACAAAATAAGGGGAACAGTGGTATTTTATTCCCACAGTTCACGTATCGACAGATTACTCAAGACTTAATGTTAAATACGGAAGTTTACAATTTTGATGCACCAATCGAGTGGTGACTGAGGCACCTTTGGAGTGCAAAGGGTTAAAGAATAGAAACACGTTTGGTTATTCAAATAGTCAACAAGAAATAGGATTTTCTTTATGCCTGACTGTTAGTTCTCAGCTATTAAAAAGAGGGTGAAAAACGGTAAAACTTTCTCGTCTTTTGTGTTACATCGCGCACTTGTCGTTCACGAGAGAAGTGGGCGAGATAGTAACCGCTCGAACACCCTGTATAAAAGCGAGACCCTAGACCGGCGGGATACAAGCGTGACTGGCCGGACAATCAAGCTGAACCGATTCCGCGATGGATAAGTAAACCGGGACGGAAGATGACAGGATAGGTAAAATGAAGGGTAATTAGTCACAGCAATACCCTGTTCCGTTGACCGTAGAGACGGGCAAAACGTGACAGCGACCGATCAGATAAGCAGAAGGGAACAGCGACGAGTAGCACTCCGAGTGCAACGGAATGGTGTATATTTAGCTAAATGGAATGAGATCTCAATCAAGTGAAGCACGGCAATGACTGGCGACCGCGATTACACGGATCAGCGGAACGAGTGGAAAGAACCGAGGGTACTTACAACTGCAGCGGGTATCTGGCAGCCAGGCAAGTGACTTTATATTTTTATGAAGCCGTTCGATTCTTTACGACCGTCCCACCAGATAACTTGCAAGGGAAGTTATCGAACCCGGAAATTCGGAAAATTGTAAAACTTTGTGTGCAAGAAGAGTGAGTGGAGGCAATTTTTATTTCATGCCGAATTTCACTTTGAATGGGTGACACCACCCCTTGAAAGAAATGCGAATTCTTCTTTCTCACAGATTATCTCGATTGCAAAATAAAATTTTATAGACGCGAAAGAACGATGTAGTTTTTCTTTAAACTTTTCTCGCTGTCTTTTATCGTTCTCAAGATAATCCACGGGAAAGTGAAATTCGGTACGACAAAAATTACAATGCATCGGGTTTGACTTACTCTATTTAGATAAAGTTTTATAAGTTTCTGAATTTCCGGGTTCGATAACTTTCCTTGTTAATTTAGAATTTCTGCGTGATGCATACTTAGTGAACCAAATGATTTAATAGTAGCTGGGTCTAGTAACAACTATATGAGTCGCAATGATGAATTCTTTGTTTTCTTAGCGAAATTACCGAGGTAAGTGATTTGATAGCTGAATTGATTTAAAATCTTGACGAACCTTAGAGTTTCTGCAGAGAAATGAAAAGAATCGATTTGACTTCTTGATGATTCTTGTGGTAAGAAGAAGGGGTTAAGGAGAATATTAGATCGTATTTTTAATTGAATTAATATATGAGTGATAAAAGACGGCTTTTTACGAGGAAAGATTTATGTGGGACAAAGTTACCGGGTTAAAAGCGACGCCGCTTCACAAATGAAACGTTTAAACACACGGCATCCCTTCGGTAGATCGAACTTTAAAGGAGGCAACCAGCAATTTGCTCGGATCGTACGAATTCCAGGGGCACGAACGATTATCGAACTTTTCTGAAATATTAATTTCGTCACGAGTCCAATTTCTGCGATTCCGCTGAGAACGAGGAGCGACAGCCACGATTTTTCAAGCTTTTCATCCACTTAAGGGCACTTTGAAAGCTATTACGAAATATCAAGCCGAAATTCACGCGGCAGTATATTACATTGATCCTCGAAACGAAGTACAGCCAAAAAGAGTTCAACGGAATCGTAAGTAGAATTCATTAAAACGGAAACAAATTGTCTGTGCGCATCGTTCGTTACCAACTTTCGCGTGAACTGTGTCAATTTAACGACTCGAACTTCCGGAATTATTTCGGAATATTTGTAAACATTTATAACACGAAGCGCCGTCGAGACCCGAATTCCCAAAATTGGTTCGAAACGAAACTGTTCTCGCGAGTAGGCACTCGTCGATCGTCATAAACGGTAACGAACAGCCAAACTTCTCGCCATTAACACATTGAATGCCTGGGGGTCACCTGTGACCTCCAACCAAATCGAATCGCTATAGTTCATTCGATTAAACGACGATTATGTGAAAACATTTCTATATTATAAATAATTCTACCTAATGCGATGGCGTTCAGCTACACGAACGTGCCACAATAATAATGCAATTCAATCGAACGTTTCAATATCGTATTTTTTCCGTTCCGTGTATTTTGTTCTATGAAATCGTGCCATTCAACATGTTAAAAGCTTCGAACACGAGGCTCGAAATCGCCGACAGAGTGAATTCGAATGTTACAATCGATATATACGCCGGGGCTTTATATTATTGGGAAAGAATGAAAAACGAAATTGAGTGGCGCGGATAATGCGATGCACGCGCGCAACGAGTCACGTAGACGAATGAACTTCGGGTGTATAACACATTTTCAACACGTCGTAAAAACTTCCAGAGCCGCGATATGAAGCACGAATACGCGGAAACGCCACGTAATTCAGCCACGCGACAATCTATGGCGGAATCGTTGAACGACCACGGATCGATGAATCGCTTTTTCGTGCGGAACGTTCATAACCAACGAAATAGTGCGTTCCGAAACCTTATCGTTCAACGTCCGCCCGTTATTATCACAGTATTAATCCCGACCTTCTACGTTAAAGACAAAGTCGCGAAACTCGGATCAAACCGATCCATCTTGGTCTAACGAGAAACGGATTCGTTCGTGTCAAACGGTGTTCCCTTCGGAAACGAAACATCGCACGAAAGATTTCTACAATTTTTCGACGATTCGTTTCCGTCCAAAGAAACACCGATTCACTCATTTCGAGGGGAATTCCCTTGGGAAACAGAGCCTGGAACGAAGGGTTTTTCACCTTTTCAAATCGCCTTTGCTTTACTCTCGATTCGGCAGTTCCGTCGGTTTCACTGTAACTTTTCCTGCCGCCTAGTAAATCATCCATTTTTTCGCCGCCGCATGAAAATTCGAAACCTTTTCTCCCTCGTAACGAACAATCCCGGATTTCCGTGGGCCGGGGTGACTTTTATTTTCGGTGCGAAACTCGCGCGGCGGTGTTCGATCGTTGTAACGCATTTCGGCCGAAAAAAGCGCGACGAAGGCGGCGCGCGGCGATCGTTTGAAAGGCGTGATAATTAAAACAGAACCGGCCCGATTGTGCGCGTTAATTGCGCGCGGGACTCACCTGCATGTTCGCGCCGTCCACCCGCCATTCGACGAACGGCGGATTTCTGTCCTTTATGTATTGCAGTATCTTCTTGTCGTCTTTCATGAATTCCACTTTGTGCAAGTAATCATCATGTACGCTGTGGTTGCAATGGAGAGTGGCCTCGCTGCCATGCGTCACGTACGACGGCGCTATCAATTGCACGTGCACCGTGGAAGTTGCATCTGGAAGTCACCGATAATAATATCCTGTTAAAGAACTTCGTTTCCTGAATTCTCGATGGATTGCCGCGGGTCACGGTGGGTTGGAATCGTCGAACACTAGACGTTTGACAGAAAAATAATCTTTGCATCTTGGTTTCTGTACTGTTGTACTGCTTTTATTATTTTCTTATTATTGCAAACTATAATGTGCCAGAAAACTAATTTTTTGTTTCTATACTGTTGCACTGCGCTTGTAATTTTATTCTTACTAAAAACGATAATTTAATAAATTATTTTCTGTTTCTGTACCGTGTACTATGCTTCTACTGTACCCAATCTAACTATTGATAAGATGATCTAACAATTTCTCTTTGCAGAACAATAACAGTAAAATTATAGTAAATGTGTCTGTACTATTACAGAATAACCGTACAGAAAGAAAAGATTGTTTGTCCATCAATTGCTTTGTTTCTTACGATTTCGACCCACTGTGTTACCCCTATATTTTCTGCGCGACTTTAATCGTGTCTTTTCGGTTTCAGTATCTACGCAGCGCAACGTGGCGCGCGAGATAATCTTCATCGATGCACCTCGTGCTCCATGTTCCATTCAAATAGGTAAATCGCTTGTTACTTTACAAGCTATTGTTCCGAATTGTGGAAAAAGCAGCAGTGTTTTTGCAAAGGAATAACAGATCGCGAAACAGACCCGCAAAATTTCGCACCGGATTATGCTGTTGCGCCCCGAATATTAAGCGAACAAACGGAAACTCGCGATCGACTGTCACCGCGGGTAACATTGTTAACCGACCAACCAACCAACGGAATAGTAATATCCCACGGACACCGATTCGTTCGCGCTGACATTGAAAATATCGAGAATATACAATGAATATCAGATAATTGCGACATCGCCATCCCTACCACATCCCCATTTTTAACATACCATCGCGCTCGACGACAGGTCGCGGTTGAAAGGTGTAACATGATCCGACTATTGTCGAACTCGACGATTTCAATGTCCCTTTCTTCTCTATTCGCACTCCTTTTCTATATCGGAAACATGAATCGCTTATTATACAAGCAATTATGATCGTAATTCTATCGTACTTGTTGTCATTTTAATCAGAAAAACAAGAAACACGATGGCGAAAGTTTCATTCATCAAAAATCAAGAATGAAACAGTTCGATTTTCGAGTTAAAGGTCTCAAGCTCATCGCGAGCCTTCAATGTACCGAACGTTTCGACTTTGTCTTTCTCTTTCCTTCATCCGCGCTGTCCTTTTCTACGTTCGCCATGCTAGAATCTTTGTTTCTTGGTACGGATTCGATTCTACCTCTTCATAATTGCAACCTTCCGGTCCCGTTAAGTGCTGCAGTTATCCAATGTTCATTGTACCCGTTATCGTCCCGCGAAGGACGCGCGACGCGAGAAGACAATGAAGCGCCGGAATTGAATTCCAGCCGAATCAACAGGATTCGCACTCTTTTACTTCGACCCTGCATTTTAATTTCGATTCGCGTGCTCGCCAGGAGTTCCGCGACGGATCTCGTTCCGCGAAAACACGGACGCGAGAATATAAAAAAAGGAAATTTTCCACGGGGAACGAAATCTGGATGAAACGCGGCGAAAAGTTGGTGAAAAATGAATGAGCTCCGTGCCGGGAATACGGGATTCGTCGATAACAGAGGGGGGGAAAAATAAGAGGGTTGCAGTTAATTGGTTCATTAATCGGCGCTGTGTAAAACGAAAATAATAACCGTTTTTCACCGGTTCCACGTAAATGGCATTCCCCTAATTACGAACGGACGGGACGACGGTCCGCGGTGTTTGACGACGACGATTAGCCTGTTGAAATATCGTCGACGGATAAGCGCGAAAGTTGCTGCGAAGCAATAAATTACTTCGCCATTTATGTAACGCCGCCGCCTATAAAATTGTTAATTAATTCATCCGCCGAGATAAGCTCCGTCTGTTGACGCGGGGAGGACGTAAACATCATTAAATGTAGTGGGCCCCGTGTTCACTTTAATGCGAATAACCAATGAATCAACTAATCGAGACACTTGAACGGAGCGCACGCAGATTATATCCGCGAGCTGTTTTATCCGCGTGCACTCGTGTACGCGCTCGCGCACGTTTCATCCGGTTAAACTTAATTCGGTGAATAATTTTGCTTTGATTGCGCCGTATTGTCCGCGGCACACCGTTCGCCGATCTGACTTTTAAATAGATCGTTTCGGGCCAACAGACTTAAGAAAGGAAAACGGAATTTTAATTGGACGCAGTATTGCTGCAGCGGGGTAAGAATAAATCGACCGCGGGCGAACTGAACACGTCGAAAATAAATCAACTGATTGTGTTACAATGTGATTTCACTTGATCGCTGTTTTGATCGCATATTCGGACGTTCCTCAAATCAATCTTCGTCTTCCTAAATGCCTGTAATGCATTTCAGGTATTTTACACGTCGGTTGAATGCTCTACAGTTTGAATATTTTACGAAACATTCGATAAATTAATTAGATAGAAAGCGAGGCGGGGAGAGTACGAGTGAACAGTTGGTGTAAATGTATAATTGTAAGTGGAACGACGGAATCCGTTGCAAGGCAAATACCATGAGCAGATATTAATCATATTAATCGTGTAAAATAAGATCGTCGCCGCGAACGCAAATTGTACATAATAACGGGAGTAATAACGGTGTTTAATTAACCGATCGCGATGCAACGTGATACGGTGCAACGATATTGTGAAATCGAACACAGGAAACCGAATTAATATACTTCGTCTGCGGTTGCATTACCTCGATGAATTGAACGTTAACTTCGACGGTTTGTTCGGGAAAAGTTCTGAAATGTGAGCCGTTTTAATCTCCATAGACAAATGATTATTTCGCGTTCGACGATTCAAATAAAAGAATTACTACCACAAAGGAATACGAAACGAGATGTTAATAAAAAGTGACGCAGCTGGAGAACGTGAAGCGTGCATATTGTTCCATACAATATATGGATCCCCGTATGAAACGGGAACAAAGGGAGATTTCTTTCCTTCCGAGCCGGGGACGTTCATTATTGCATTATAATTTCAACCGGCGAGGAGCTTTCCGCGTTTTAGGAATGACAAAAATTGTCCGTCCAGAAAGGACATTATATTTAATGTGATAATCGTGTCTTCTTTATTCGTTCCACGTTCCTCAGTCGGTCCGCGCATGGAAACGTTCCGAATTGGGCCGTGCAATCATATCGAGATTAAATGCTCGGCTAGTTCGACTGTAATTATTGAATATACACCGGCACAAACTAGTGCGTTAACGTCTATTAATTCGACGAATTTCTAGACGGGAAACTGGGTCGCCTGGGACGATCAACATTTACGCGTTAGCCTGCCGCGCTCCTCGAGATCCATATTATTTTAGTTAACTGCCACACCTTTGTAATGAATTAATTCGGAACGGAAAGGTCGCCGGAAATTAAATTATTCTGCCACCGCTTCTAGACCGTCTTGTTCCTCGTCGAAACACAATTTGGATCTTCCGTGCATTGATTTTCACCGAACACCGCCCGTTCGTTCGTCTGTTCGGGAAGGAAAAATTAAATACCGTAACTATTGTTGTCGTTGCCTATTGACGACGTTCCTTCGGTAATGAGATTTTCATTTTTCCCTATGTTAACGGGGAACTCACAGTATTATATTTCCTGTCACCTTTCGCTTACGATATTATCGTAATTTGTCAGCGTCAGCGAGCTTCGCGCGAAATCGAAGATAGATAGTGAGGCGGCGTTCAGCCATTGAAGGATTTATGATCGGTTTTCAGCGATCGTGAAAGAGCATGAATCAGACTAGACACAGCTGTCGTCGGGTAATGGCCGGTGACCACGTTGAATCATTCAGTTGTCAGTTGTCAGGCTTTCGCTGGTGCTTATTTGAATGAAACCAGTCGCAATCGGGGCTCGAGGTGTCCTTAAAAATAAGGACATTGATCCTAGAGGTTCTAGCTACAGGTTGAGGAAAGCGAGAGGGTAAAAGGACTACGACAACCGACACGAGACTTGTACTAAAATCTTCGAAGAGTTTTCAACCTCTTTACAAAATGTTTAAAGCATTTTTAAAAATCCATAGTTGCTTTTAATTTCAATGTATATAAGAGGAAAAATTAAGTACTGAATGGAATAGAAACGGAATTTTTATTTAACGTTACTGCTTATTGACCCTTTTATTGAAAGAAAACAAACGGTTTCGCGTGTCACATTATTTTCGTGTCGGAGAAAACTTTAGACTAAACCTTCCTACGCTTCAAGCATTTATTACCCTATTGTAATTAGTTGGTTGAAACTTCCCGACGGAACTTCAAACGAAACTTTCCAACTTGTTAGAGGCAACAAAATTCTTCCGTGTTTCCAAAAACTTCCGTGCTCGGCGTGTTCAGCTGTTTTTTTAATCGCGCCGTGTAAATTAGCGTGAAATACGTGAATGAGAATTCGCGAGTGCACTGACTCGCCGACCTTCTGTGGTAATCGATAAAAGGATAAGTTTGGTAATCGATAAAAGGATACTTCCCAGTATACCGGGGCCAGCGAAACGTACAAACAAGAAGAATTTGCCAAAACGACGCAACGGTAAATTTTTCAAACGATTTCTCCTCGTGACGGGAGCAGACGTTTCGAATACCTTTCATGCTTCTGAGGGAAAAGAGTCAGAGAGGCAGTAAAAAGGGGGAGCAAAAACTAATGGCTACACTCTGCCTAGAGAACCCTAAAGCAAAATGTAAAAGTCCGGAAGAATGGAGTAAATACTGGTTAGGTGTGGATAAGAGGGAGTACGCGATGTGCAGACGTAAGTGTGAAGGATTATAGCGTTTAATAGGGGATGTCGTAAAGTTAGAGACAGCACTGTTAAAGCAAAACGAGTACTAAATTGTTACGGGCGGATTAGCTTTTGAGATATCAGCAATACGATACGCAAAAATTCGTTTCGAATTTCACGTGTAGTTTTTACGTATAAAAATAACCGTACACGCAACTTCTACTGTACCTCGTATCATCGATACCAGAGGTAGAAACAAAAATATCCTAAAATTTATTCTCTATCGTCCCATCCAGACGTCTGTAGAAATTCACGAACGATTCGAGTGCATAATATTCATTAATTCTATTAATCACTCAAATAGATACGAAAATGTGAACGGATTCGATCAGCTCTCAATTTTTCCATGTTTAATATCCGCGCGATCCAGCTCGCGAAGGGGAGCTTTCTATTAAATCGGGGATTCCTGGGCTGGAAACTAGGTCGTCTAGGACGATCAACGTTTTCGTGTCAAGACTCCGTGTTAATTCGATTCGGGGCGGACACGGCGATTAACTCGGGCCATGCATGGCCTCTCCAGGTGCGATTCAGAGAACGTTCGAACGACCCCGTCAAAAATACGACGTGAGCTAATGAAACCGTGTACGGAAGAATGGAGAGGTTTCGGTCGGCTGTAACTACTTGTGGCAGTACCCTGTTGCTGGGAGGTGTTACTGTATCGATCACTGGAAGCGCGTGTTACCAACACGCGCGCACGGCGTTCGAGGCTTTCAAGACGTTCCGAAAGCACCCCATGGTGCTCGAGGGGCAACGAAATCGTAGAAAATAAAATTGCCCCGCGCAAGCCGTTGCCCGCTATACACCACGGCCGGGTCGGTTTCCTGTCGCACGGCGGCTGTCCCCTCGATGAACTCGAAGACGGAAAAGCAAGGGGTGAATGAGAGAGAAATCGAGGAAAATGAGACGACGAAAGAAATTCGATATTGGTTGTTTACTTACGTTTCGGCCGACAAAGCGATTTTCGAAAAATAAAATGCACTTAGGTTGATGCGTGTCCATGTGAAAGAATATTAATTTATTAAGACATATATCAACGAAACAAAAGTATATAATAAGTATGAATAAAATGTATTACACTTGTCCGATGGCTATTCGACGTTGTGTACAGAGTGTGAAAATGAAAAACTGTATTTAAGTAAGGTTCTCGCTGAAAGACTCGTAGCATGTAGCGTTGAGAGGTCTTTGAACGGATTACACGTTCCTAAAAAAAAAGAATGCAGTATACATAAACATAAAATAAATTGAACTTAAAATGTACAGTGGAAATTATAGTAACATAGATTTTCGTGATACCGTGATACGCTTAGACGTGTTAAGCATGAAGGATTGGTTAAGGACCGCGAAAAATGTAAATGTCCGATTATACGCGTAAGTCGACTGACTGTCGCGATTAGCACGATGATCTTCTTAATAAGAGTATTTAATGCGTCTCTTAAAAAAAAATGTTCAATCACATTCCTGTCTGTTTGAAGAGTACAATTTTGCAAATAAATTTCTTTCAATCTGTTATTAGGTGTTACGTTGTACATTTCAATGGCGTCTTTTCATCTACGTTTTATCAATGAAGCAGCAGTCGTTGCGATGGCTTTCATTCAAATCATGACACACACACACACACATATAAGTTTTACAACGGAACACTTTTATATACAAAAAGGAATAAAACCGGAGCGATAAGCTTATCAAGATTGAAAGTACTCTTCGAGAGAAAGGTTACACTGCGTACAAAGAACGATGACATATAAAACACGAATAGAAAATAATCAGTTATTGCACGTAGTCTGAGAGTAAAATGAACTGGCCGGGTGGGTGTTTACGATTGCGTGCGACTTACATGAAAATAATTGGAAAATATATACGAGTACGATTTTTCCCCAGTGTGCTGGCTGGTGCGACATTGCCATACGGATTCGTCGCGACGTATCTACGTAACTGTTACCGCCTCTACGCTACTTAAATTACAGAAAAAAACGTGCTTCTATTTTGTACAGTGACGTGCCTTTAAACTACACAACTTCGAGCCGAGTCGGCGCTACAACTGACCAAGCTTTTCGATCGTTCCGACCAACTCCCATAGAATATGAAACATAGAGTGGAGGCTCACCTGGTTTCCGGTTTATCGCGCGATCTTCGAAATCGGATTTGCTAATGGGTCTGGCATGAAATAAGCGACACAGAGCCGCGACCTGAGTCGATGCTGAACTGATGTCTTTATGGCACACCGCAGCAATAAATTTGAACCTGCATTGAACACGTTTATCCGCAATATTTTGGATATGCCGGGAAAGCTGTAATTGTCTTGACGACTTCATATAACTTTTTATATCTTTTCTTTGCATTTGTTTCAATACGTAAAGAAAAATCTTTTTTAGTTTGAAATATTGCATTACAGAAAATTAATTACTCAGAGCTATTTATAAAACTACGAGATTATGAAACATATGCGTGAACATAGGATCATACAATTTAATTTTTTTTTTAATTATTATTTACTGGAATACTTAAGTCGAATTTCTGTACACTAAAAATCATTGTATGTTTGTTTTGATATAGTATTATTTATCCTTTGTACATACATGTGAAAACAATATAATAATTGTTACATAGCATATGTTTTTAAATAAATAACAACTTTGTAGTACGAACATGATTAGTTTCATATGTTGTAAGCCTGAACTGCATTTCTATAAACATATTTTGAACGTGGCTTTTGACGTCTTGTATGCTACATGAACGATGTGTGGAAAGAAGTACGCATGAATTACGGTGTCAAATAAATTGAAGCTTAGGCAAAAATGGAAGGACACGAAGAAGATGATTTAGAAGATTTAAATTCAACTATTTGTACACTTCCGCCAAATGTACAAAATGTAATTGAACAGGTTAGGAATGTAATAAAACTTTCAAACTGTTTACAGCTGTCACTTTAATCAGTATTTAATATATTCTTGTCAGTTATAGTCTTTTTTATTGCTTATGAGTTTTTATCTAGACTTTCTTAATAAAATGAAATCACATAAACAATCTTCATAGATTGTGGTTAATTAAATTGGAAAACTATTATTTACTGACATCCAATAGTTTTAAGATTTATTTTTATGACAGTTTGTATTATTTAGGCTTATGTATATAAAAATTTATACCTATTTTTAATCATTAGGTTCTACCTAGTACGGATCCATTGGACCAACCAAATTTTAATGTAGTAGATTACATAAATTCATTGTTCCCGACAGAACAATCTTTGTCGAACATAGATGACGTGGTGAATAATATGGAATTAAAAATACGTAATATTGACAAGGAGATCCGTTCTGTAGTAAGGGGTCAAACAAATGTAGGTCAAGATGGTAGAGCAGCATTAGAAAATGCGCAGAAAGTCATAAAACAATTATTTGTACATATCAAAGATATAAAGGATAAAGCAGAACAGTCTGAAGAAGTAGTTAAGGAAATAACAAGGGATATTAAGCAAATGGATTTTGCGAAAAGAAATCTTACTGCCTCTATAACTGCTTTAAATCATCTTCACATGCTTGTAGAGGGTGTAGATACTTTAAAGTACAGTATCTTGATTTTTATTGTAGAATATGTACTTATTATAATCGGACAAATTAAATATTATTTCACATATTTGTTTTCTCAGAGTATTAACACAAAAGAAACAATATGGGGAAATTATTTTGCCATTACAAGCTGTAATGGAAGTAATGCAACATTTTAATAGTTATATGGATATTCCTCAAGTGAAACAGTTATCTGACGAAGTATGTATATTTTAGTTGAACAAATTCATGCAAAGATGGATATACATTCTTTCTAACAAATATTTTAATTTAAAGGTACGTCAAATACATGTTGAACTAGCTCAACAAATTACAGCAGATTTTAAGCAAGCGTTTTCTGGTCAAAACCCAAAATATTTTAATCAGTTAACAGAGGGCTGTTTAGTGCTGTCCATATTAGATCCAAAAGTCAAGTATGTATAATTACAATGTTACATTGTATGAAAAAAGTTCTTAGGTGACTATAATATTTCATCTTTTTTCATAAGGAAGGATTTGCTTACATGGTTTGTGGGTATACAATTGCAAGAATATGCCCATCTGTTTGATGAGAATCAAGACTTTGCATGGTTGGATAAAATCGATCGGCGATATGCATGGATAAAAAAGCATTTACTTGACTTCGAATCAAAATTTGGGACAATCTTTCCACAAGATTGGGAAATTTCAGAACGAATCGCTGTACAATTTTGTCATGTTACACGAGAAAATCTGACAAAATTAATGCATAAAAGACGTTCTGAGATAGATGTGAAATTATTACTGAATGCAATTCAACGAACTAGTAACTTTGAATCGTTATTAGCAAAACGATTTAGCGGCATTACTTTGGAAAGTTCTGAAACAACAAACAAAAAAAGTACTGCTAGTACAGATACTACAGATAAAGTTCCAGGCAATCCTTTCGAAGAAAATGAGCAGGTAACGTATTTTTGATACATTCTGTAAAATAAATTTACATACAACATTTATAATCATGCACTTACACATTAGGTACATAATGAAAAACCAAAACCATCGCCGTTTTCCAATCTCATTGGAACCTGTTTCGAACCATATTTAAGTATTTATATAGAAAGTTTAGATCGTAATTTATCAGATTTAATGGAAAAATTTGTATCGGATTCTAAAACACAACCACCAGGTGCTAGAGAATTTGATGGTATTGAGGGACCCAGTAGTGTCCTATCCTCATGTGCAGATTTGTTTGTATTTTATAAAAAATGCATGTTGCAATGTACACAACTTAGTACAGGTGCAATAATGTTGAGTTTGTCTGAAACCTTTCAAAAATATTTACGTGAATATGCTCTTAAAATACTTCAAAATAATTTACCTAAGTAAGTACAATACATAATGTGAATATCATTCAAAATTATTACTTTATGAAGTTTAATTCTGTCTAATCTACTGTAGAATTGGAGGTAGTGTAGGACTTGCCACGAGTATGAGTAGTATAACCCGTGACTTCAGAGATCTCTCAACATCTGGTTTTATACAAAATTTTCAAAGTTTTTTGAAAGAAGGCGAAAGTACTAGATTCAGTAAAGAAGAGCAGTCACGTATATGCTGGTAAATATTTATTACTGAATGTCAGTAACGAAACAAATAAAATACATTATCTGTATATACATTACAGCATATTAACAACAGCTGAATACTGCTTAGAAACAACACAGCAATTAGAAGAAAAATTACGTGAAAAAACAGATAAATGTTATGCTGAAAAAATTAATTTATCTCAAGAGCAAGACATTTTTCACAAGTATTTATTTTATATTACATATTGCATTTGTTAATGTTCTTTTCATTCAAAATGAGATAATTTTTTTCAGTGTTATATCAAACTGTATTCAATTACTGGTTCAAGACCTAGAATCGGCATGTGAATCTGCATTAACTGCAATGACAAAGGTATTCAAATTTGAAATTTTCTTAGTTTATTATAAAATATGCGATATATGTCTGTTAATTCAGGTTCAATGGAGTGCCATTGAAGTTGTTGGAGATCAAAGCAATTATGTTAATACCATTGTGGCACATCTTCGACAAACGATACCTACTATTAGAGATAGATTATCTTCTTGCAGAAAATATTTTACACAACTCTGTGTAAAATTTGCAAGGTAATGTGCATTTCTGTTCAATTATATATAAACATATTAATGATCTCACTTCTTTGCAGCTCATTTATAGTAAAGTTAGTACAACAATTATATAAATGCAAACCTTTAAATACTGTGGGTGCTGAACAATTATTGTTAGATGTACACATGTTAAAAACTGCTCTCTTGGATCTTCCATTAACTGGTTATCAAATTGTAAGGAAGGCACCAGCGACGTATACTAAGGTAAAGTTTTTTTTATTAATAATATACTTATATCAATATTAATACACGTTTTATGTTATGAATAGGTAGTAGTAAAAGGCATGGCAAGTGTTGAAATGATTCTCAAAATCGTAATGTCTCCAATTGAATCTCCAAAAGATTTTGTAAAACAATGTAGAATGCGTTTACCGGATCTCCAGGCGCCAGAGTTTCAAAAAATTTTAGATATGAAAGTAAATATCTAATTCTATCTTCTAACAGTTATAACTTTTAAGTAACGTATCATAACTATAAATAATTTATAGGGTTTAAAGAAAACAGAACAAGTCCTATTATTGGAACAGTTTAAGCAACCTGAAAATGTGACAATCTCCCATGACACCAAAAGTCATATTGTTCAAGATAGTCCAGAACACGAGGCTGGACGAATAAAAAGACTAGAAAAACTAATAAAGAAAAGAATATGAACATTTTTCATAGTAAAACTGATATTACATTGTATATACTGAATTGAAATATACCTATATAAAATATAAATAATTTTTAAGTACTGTACATCTAAATATTCAAGTACCTTATGCCTTACCTCCACATGTATACATCTTATTTATCATAAATGTATGAAAAATTATTCAAAGGACATTCACCACTTAGGACACAGAATATTTGCTTTTTTTATAGTTTATTGTTTTACAGTGTAAACAATACCCGATTAACAGGATGATGTTAACCCTGTTTCTGCGCAAGTTCTTTCGCCTTAGCTTTCTCTAACTTAGCTATCCTAGCAGCAGATTTGCTGCCCAACAGACCACCACCCCAGTGACGTCTGATTTCATCGTATCTATCATTGAAGTTCACCTTTACAGCTTCAACCAATTTGGCAAAGTTAGCTCTGTCACCAGAATCCACCTGAAAAGCAAAAAAAAGATTGTTATAAAAAAATCAAAACTATGATGAAAGTAGAAATATTGATAAAAATATATCAGATACTGGGGTACTTTTATATCATGTACATTATCATTGGATTGGCTCTATTTGTACTCATCATATTCTAAATTATTATCTATCATGAATAACATTATTACCATAAATTATTCTTACCATTTTTATAGCTACTGTAGAACAAGTTTTACGCCTCACCAGACGTCCCAAACGTGCTTTGCCCTTTATAATGCAGTAAGGCACACCCATTTTACGACAGAGGGCCGGTAGGAAAAGAACAATCTGCATATAAAATCAGTGTGATGAATACAGAAAAATAAATTATTTAAATTATGAAACTGTTTATATATGTAACTCAGAATGTCAGTAGTCATCTTTGAACAATATGTATTATATTAAATATATTCTCAGGTGAAGAAATTCGCGCATCATTGTTAAACTAAACTTATTAAAAAATTAGAACTGTAAATAAAATATTTATTACCTCAATTGGATCCACATCATGTGCAACGACAACAAGTTGAGCTTTCTTTTGTTCAACAAGTGTTGTGACTGTGTTTATTCCACTGTACACCACATTAGGTCTTTTGGTTGGTGTATCTTCCTTCTTTGCAACTTTTTGTTCAGCTCTAGCCTTCAATCTCATTTTTTTCATTGCTGCTGACTCAGGCCTGTATTTTTCCATCATTTTAAATAATTGTGTTGCTGTAATAAATGAAAAATGTTAATACCCATCTTTTAATTATTTAATTGGTTCTTATACTTTTTAATTGCAAACCTGTTTGTTTGTCCAATGTCTGTGTGAACTGATTGATTGGTGGTGGAACTTTCAACCTTTTTTGCAGCACTGCTCTTTGACGTTGGATTCGGATGTATTTGGGCCATTTTACAAAGCGGCTAAGGTCACGAGCAGGTTGAATATCCTGTCCTAAGTATCAAATTTTGTTCATCAATGTAATAAATAAACATGATTTAAAAACTGTACATATAAAATAATATTTTTCCTCACCAATTCCAAAATTGCGGGTACGTTTCTCAAACAGAGGATTGGTCTGTTTCTTCGGTTCAACTTTCTTCACTGCTAATGGAGGAGCAGCTACTTTCTTTCCTACCTTCTTCTTAGGCTATATGATAATAAAAATGCATATGTGAAAATACAAAATTAGAGATCACTAAAATAAACTCACTACTTTTGTGTAATGTTAAACAGGTTGACAAGGTTTTGGTTAGGTATATAGGTTTCAAAAATACTGTTATTATAGTTTAAAACAGTTGTATTTTTCACAATCCAAAAAATGATTTTGTTCACAACAATTCATGCACTTAATAAACGGGTAAACGTACTACATAAGAAAAACATACTTATTTAGTTGTAACGACCCAAAACATGCCGAATTCTAACCATTACAATACATAGTAATAACATGTTTCGGTTAGGAATATTATTTGTATTTGGTAATTTAGTTGATTTACCTTCTTCTGGACCATTTTTTAAAGTGGAAATTTAACGGATCTTTTATATCACAATGGATATAAAAGTTTGTACTACAGAGCACGACGCGAGTACGAACGTCGAAAATGTAAAGAAAGATTCCTCGTGCAGCGCCACCTCATGCAACAACAGCGCCATTTCACAAACATTATCATAGAATTATTCTTTCTAGAGAAAGAATATAGTGATTTTAATTTCTCTTTGCAGCATCTAAAAATGTTGTTAATAATTATGTCTAAAAAATCGTTTTGGTACGTTGATTTGAATAATCTGGAAATAACCACGCCTTGATTATATTTCTTTCATCATAAATATGCACTGAAGAACAAACACATGACTTTATCATTTAAAAATTACATTTTATCTTTAAGCATGATAAAACTGTACTTTTAAAAGTAAATAAAATTCAAATAACAAAATTTAAAACAAGTTATTAACACAAATAAGCGTTACTTTTTAAGATTTTATTTTATACAAAAATATATTTTGAAAGCAAGTTAAAATATGAATAGAATAATTAAAGATTTTTCATAATATTTCTCTTCTTTATCGCAAGAATTTTATGAATTTGAATAATACAACAAGAAATTATAAATTTTCAAAATACGCATGCGCCAGTTAACTCAGGGTATAGGCGTCAGAAGGGGCCGCGCGTGCGACCTATGCGCCTCCAGTTTAGACTATTTTACGATGGGAGACGCTTGGTATCCCAGCTACGTCAGTATTTTGTAGTGTGTCGACGATTCGTCTGCATTACGGTCCTGTCCGGTATTTTAAAAACTTTCGTTGGTCAACGTGCTCGTGATGGTATGTGACTTGGCTGGTTAGTGATCGCTGATTTATCGTAGCATTTACTTCCGTCCATCCGTCGATTTCAAGAAGCCTCACATTTTCTATTAAAGCATACATTTAGAAGCTTTAGCTACAGGTAACGACAGCATGTCAAGAATGATCTTATTACTTTATTTCAAATATTAATGATATTCGAGACACGTTCATTCAAACTTTCTAAAACTATAGAGTGTTTCATAGACTGTTCATTGTTTGCATTGCATGCTGCAGCCGTCATCCGGCATTCTAATGACGGTCACCGACAAAACTTGACAAACTATGACATTTACAATCTATATTGAATTTCTATCCGATAATCCATATACGAATTTAGACTTGAAGAGTTGAATGCAATGAAATATTATAATAGACATAATATAAAATAAGATATTCAATATTGTTTTATATTGCGCGTGAAAACTGATACAAGCGGGGGTGAATTCTCTTCTAGCAATGTAGACTTTCATATCACTTGTTCAGTACCTAAGATATTGCGCGAATGAAATAATATTCTCATTACATTAAAACATTCAAACTTATAAACCAATTGAAAATTGTTTCGAAAACAAAATTATTCAATTAAAACGACTTATTTATACATTATTAATTTATTCTATGAAATCCATTGTGCACTAAGATAATTGATGCTGTAATACAATACTATTGAAGATCACGTTTTCCGGAAGTTCTAACATCTTCATAGTATAAACAACATACCCTTCGATACATTAAATAGTATTTGAAATATTCGTGAAATTTTGCCGGCCTCCAGTTAGCAAACGAATAATCGAATTATTGGTTGGACAGAGCGTTCGGGTCGTTAGAAATGACGATCCGAAAAATTTGCTGTATCGGTGCTGGATACGTAGGAGGTCCTACCTGCAGCGTTATTGCCTTGAAGTGTCCAGAGATCCAAGTGACCGTTGTAGACAAGAGCAAAGAAAAGATTGGCCAATGGAATTCAGACAAACTCCCGATCTACGAGCCCGGTCTGTACGAGGTGGTGAAGATCTGCCGCGGGCAGAACTTATTCTTCTCCACTGACATGGACACCGCGATCAAGGAGGCAGATCTGATATTCATTTCCGTGAACACGCCGACGAAGACGTTCGGTAACGGGAAAGGAAGGGCGGCAGATTTAAAGTATGTCGAGAGCGCGGCCAGAATGATCGCAGAAATTGCGACCGGGGACAAAATCGTTGTCGAGAAGAGTACTGTGCCGGTCAGAGCGGCTGAGAGCATTATGAACATTCTGCGGGCTAATCACAAGCCGGGCGTTTCGTATCAGGTAACGAAATATTTAATATAAATGTCTTTCCGAAGCAGGACCGTATCATAATGTTTGCAGACCCTGAGCACGTCTATACTCTTTCCCCAATTTTTAATTTTTTTTGTTGTTCATTGAGGGGTACTAGTAGTAAACCCTGTACGTGCCGAACATTAAATGTTTCAGGAGGAAAGATAGAGGTAACTACCGTTAAGTCGGACGTTCCAATGATGTCATCTTTTAGCACTATTAGTCACTAGTCAGGGAAAGGGAATTGAACTTCAATTTTATACTAGCGTTTCCGTTGACTCGTAGGGCATTCTCTACTAATGAAACAAAATTTGTTCGAATTTGGTACTTATACTGTTTTTTACAAGAACTATTCGATTTTGTTTTATTCATAGGCTTTACGGTGTTTTCGTAGGCCCTGGGTACGTGAGTACCTAAAGTAAGTAGATATTAGATAAGATCCAAGACTCTGTTCTACAAAACGATTTTTCTGTTCACGTTCATGGAATATATTCCCTGCGTTTTTGCTGGCGGACCATATGGCGCACGTCGTATAAACATTTATTTTTAGAATAACCTATTATTCGTGCATGTTGTTCGACACAATTGGCCCTCGCGGTTGATCAGTGTTGCTCTGTGCGGATACGCTCATGGGCGTTTAAGCACACGTGCTTTCCAAATGGGGCTACGGGATTTCCGCACATGATGTATGCCAAGCGTTTCAAATCTCGGCATCGAGATATTCAAGGACTGACATGGATATATCTGTTCGATTGAAAATAATTGGAAAGAGAGTCAATATTCGTGGTAATAGTATTCAGTCGACCGACGAATGATTTCCATTTTCCTTAGTTTCCATTTAAATGAACTCATTATATTCAGTGTTAATTTATTAGTTATTTATTTTATTTATGTCTGCGTCTATTACGCAGTGTCAACCATTGGTAAATTTAACAATTATTATTCGAATGAGAAGTACATTTGTTATTATAATTTCTTTACTATAAAAAAGCCCAAAGAATTAAGCATTCAGAATAGGAGGTGTGAAGATATATAGTTTATTGAGCCGTCGGAAATTAGATTCAACGATAACAAATGTCAGACATATTTGTCTTTTGATACCTAATCACGTGATAGATATTGTTGCAACGCGAATACACTATTTTAGTGATTTCACGTTAACATTGTTATATCGCGTCCAACAATACGCGATAAGAATTCTGAGAACACCGTACAAAAGCAGTGAAATGAATTAAATATTCATCATTTTGAGGAACAAGAATAGCTAATCAATTACCAAGAAAAATAATTTTTCTAATACGAAACTATTTTGCGCGCCCTTATGATATGTTATCGGGTTAACATATTAATTACATTGATATTCAAAGTAAATAGTACGTTGAATTGCAATTTAATTGGATTTTCTAGTAAGCGGAAAACTTCTTTGAACAAGAGATTTTCTGATAATCATCAGCGGTATAAATTCGAAATCTAAGATAGTACCCATTCCTGGGCAACAGTGGATATCGTTTCACACGAATATTGGAATGATTAACTTAACGGTTTGTCAGTTTTGGAGTAGTTGCTCAACAAACTGACGGAAGTAATTACTTTAGTACCCTTTTCTACGTCAGCTATTGATAGAGAAACGGCCAGGCAATTATCTGATATAAGAAAGTTAAAATGGCAACAAAGTTTTCACTGTTTATGTAATACCAATGACATTTTAAACAGAAAACTACGAAATTTGTCTAGCTATCTGTCTAACATTTCTATCTACATTGAACGTTACATAAACTATACAATCAGTTAAGACAACTTTTTAAACGATGCATAATATAAATAGTAAATGTAGTTAGAAATTGTGGAAAGCATACTTAATGTGCAATGCAGCATATAAGTTCTTGGATATTTAACAGAACGCTTTCGCAATTTACCGTTTACAGTGTATACTGTTTTGAATATAATCTGTTGAGAAAGGCGCATTCTAACTCTCGCGTATTGTAATGCACCGTTTATGCTAATGTCTTGTAATGAGATGTAAACAACTTGATAGTGGCAATTTCGGTGCAAATTCAGTCATGTATCACTATCGGACCATTAAACTACAAAATTTTCAAGCTTTTGTCTCCGATAACGTAGAATAAATATTTTTTTGTTATCATAATGACGTTCCATATGTTTCTCGTGACCTTACGAATTATTCGTAAGACATGTCTTTTTAATTTTATTTTTGGCTGCAGAACGCACTAGCTAAATCTGTTCAGAAACGCCGAGTTCGAGTCAATGTCGGAGAGTAAGAGGTTGAATACCTGTTGAATTAACGCCGGCCGTCCGAGCCATTTCTTTCGATGCGCTGGTCGCGCGATCATGACCCTTTTTTCTCTTTCCGGCCGCCTTTTCCATTTATCACGCGTCAGCCGATTATCATTCGTCCACGCTGCAGCGACCACGTATTGTAACGGAGCAAATGTTTGTCCGTTTCCAGATTCTGTCGAACCCAGAATTTTTAGCGGAAGGGACCGCGATCGAGGACCTGATGAACGCGGATCGCGTTTTAATCGGCGGCGAAGATTCCGCAGAAGGTCAAGCTGCCATGGAAGAATTGTGCAAGGTCTACGAGCATTGGATCCCACGGAAAAACATATTAACGACGAACACGTGGAGCTCAGAGCTCTCGAAGCTGGTGAGAAAATTTGTTGAAACGTGGAAACATGGAAAATACCGACACTTTCAGAGCCGTATTCTTCCGTAGGAATTATCGAATAACATTATTATTTTAACTATCAGATATTATATCAATTATATTCTGAAATACGTTTTGTCAAACAACGTTTATTATAAATTAGTATTGTGACACGGATACTAAGTACCAGAGAAATCGTGGAAAAATTGAACTGAGTTTGAAGAGTTGACAAGGTTGATATGTTGACTAATTAGCTTCTATTGTTCAAGTATTTTTATCGGGACGTGTGTCGAACGAACCTGCTGTCGGAGCACGTGTCTGTTGGCGTCACGCGTTACGATTTTGACTACGTTTCGTAACGTGACGGCACGATTTTTATCGTCGAATCTACTGTTTGGCAAATTCCCGGCGACGATGCAAATGGTTTGCGTAATTAGGTGAAAATTTAATTACGATTTTAGGCCGCCAATGCCTTCTTGGCACAGCGTATATCCAGCATCAATTCTCTGTCGGCGGTGTGCGAGGCGACTGGTGCGGACGTCTCCGAAGTGGCTCGGGCGGTCGGCCTTGACTCCCGAATAGGATCGAAGTTCCTTCACGCATCGGTGGGGTTCGGAGGCTCCTGCTTCCAAAAGGACATATTGAATTTGGTGTACATATGCGAGTGCCTAAACCTGCCCGAAGTGGCTGCCTACTGGCAACAGGTCATAGACATGAATGAATACCAGAAGTCAAGGTTCACCGTGAAAGTGATCGAGTCGCTGTTCAACACCGTTACGGACAAACGGATCTCTATGCTAGGGTTCGCCTTCAAGAAGAACACCGGCGACACGCGTGAGTCACCGGCCATTCATGTCGCGAAGACTTTGCTCGACGAGGGTGCAATGCTTCACATATACGATCCCAAGGTGATTTTCTTTAATGACTGCTTAAAGTGGTATCCTTGCTACAGGCATCCTCACGATATGCGGACGTTCGATTTGCGACGAGAAGTATACCAATATTCTGCGCTCCTTGTATAGGGTATTAATCTGTAGCGAAAGTATGTCTTAAGCAAAAATTAGTTTAGTACGGACTGTGTGAACGCTCAGAAATGTAGGCCACATTCCGTTTAACAGATTGAAATTATCTTTTGTTTCTTAGACTTTGAGCGATGTTGAGTATTATTGTCTGTGTAGTATGAAAGACCCTTTTATATAGTGAAGCGGTAAATATCGGCTTGTGACGTGCATTGGGAAACAATCAGTATATATTTGAAGCTTGATACAATTGAAATTGTCACATCTGTCGTATTGTATGTTCATAGACTCTTGAAGTTGCATGTGTATCTTGTGAAACATCCTGTATAGAATCCTTTCGTTTACCTTCAAGGATTGAGGACATATCGAAAAACTGTTTATGTGTATAGTATTCGAAGGGGATAGCCTGTAGTATGAGCAAGTATTTTTTATATAGATGCATAAGAAATTTCAAGGTTGACTTCAGTTCTTTAATTGAATGACTCGTCGTATAGTCGTAAAGTTTATTCAAACTCTTCTATTTATTGAATAAGGTTGCGGCAATTACATCGTGACATTTCATAAGTTTCTGTTTAGAAATTTATCGAAAGAAATTTATTGAAGGAAGGTATTAATGTAAATTTTGGATTTATTCGTGCAGGTGGAGGAAAGTCAAATTATCGAAGATCTAACACATCCAAGTGTAACAAGTGATCCTGAGAATATAAAAAGTAGGATCAATATTTACAAAGACGCTTATAGCGCTACAAAAGACACGCACGCTATTGTTGTCTGCACAGAATGGGATGAATTTATAGTAAGTGACAATAAACGTTGAAGAAACAACACGAGTGCAATTTTATTCTTCATTTTGATGTATTTTTCTATTTCTTTTTTAGGAATTGGATTATAAACAAATCTATTTTAATATGATGAAACCAGCATACATTTTCGATGGACGGAAAATTTTAGACCATGATATGTTGCAAGAGATTGGATTTATTGTTCAAACTATTGGAAAGAGGATTACAAAAATGGCGATGTCGAGGACTTGGGGAAGTCAAACTCAAATGTAGATGAAGTTGCGCGAAAGGTTATAAAAAATTTAAATTTTATAATTCAACGAATTCTCGTTTCAGTAACAATTACGCGAATGTTTTACTTTTAAAACTTGGTAAATATATAATATACTCTACGTTGCCTCTACACGAAGTAGTTACCCAAGCGGCAATAATTGTATAAAATATTTTTTTATTTAATAAGTTCGTGAGAATTTAAAATTTACAAGGTTTTCAGAGTAAAACATTTGCATTAGGACCGAAGAATTGTGGAACAAGAATAATTAAGCGAAAGTTAATTAGTTCGTAATGTTAATGATCAGGGACAAATACGTTTTATCGACGTATACAATAACGCGCAACGGAAGCAGCGTCATACATTTGTATAAATTTTTTTCAGAATTTGGTAGAGCGGAATAAAATAATTTCCCCTTTATTTTAATTGGAACAATACAAATTGTAACATTATTTGTAACTCTCTATTAAAAGTATGTTGCAATTTCTATTGTAAACTTGTCGATCATGGGCATTTACACGGTGAAATGAAATAGTATTGAAAAGAAAACAAAATTTTAAAAATTTGTTCTGCTGTGCAATATTGTGTACATGCCAAAACCTTCACAATCATAACACCCAAAATACAGTACATTCCTGCAAAATTGTACTTGTTTAGAAATATTTTCATTTTATTTATCAAATACTGCGATAGGTAGTTTCAAGTTTTATATATGTTATTATTGTAATTAAAATATTTTATATCAATAATTCTTCTCTCGCATCTTGCGAGAAATTTCATATAAGGTTCCACTAAGATATGCGAACCTTTTTAGATAATATTTTTACACATTTGAATGATTCCTATGAAATGGTTCCGCCATTTTTTATAATGCGACGAAATTATTACTAAAGTGACTCATTGTTCAGCGATGGAAAACACTTTAGTGTTTAAAGTATTATATTTTTCTTTATAAGAATAGTATTAAGGACGAAATGATAAACATAGCAATAATGTAATTGTTATCATTGAAAATTGTTAACGAAAACAGTTTTATGGAACTAAACGAATGATTATATTATTCATAGAAATTTTACGAATATTAATTCGTATGATTATTAATCTCATTTTACCAAGTTCACGAAATTGTTACAAATTACATCCGACCCTACATTTATTTCATACAATGTATCTTTAATTTTGCGGTTATGTGCGCATAAAATTTATAAATAAATGTTGATATAAATTACATAAAATACAACATTTACTTCTATTCCATTCCCTGCCCTCCGTGTACGAACACGAAAGTATATGTTCTATAATTTCAGACAATATATCCTACATTAGAAACGTTCTACAAAAACAAATTCTGGGAAATACAAATAAATCAATACCAGCGTTACTCTGGACGCATTACCTTCATCAAATTCACCGATTTAAACGTTATAGAGTACCGAGAAGAGAGTTAACGTATCGATAAAAAAAAATCTCCGATTTGTCAAGGACTCGTGGGAATTGTTTACGGCCCTGGTGCAGAAAAGAGCGATGGCGCCGCTGAAGAAACTACTGGATGCAGAAGCGGAGGCAGCAGCAGCGGCGGCAGCGGTGACGGCCAGTAGCGGCAGCAGTAGCAACAGTATGAGTTGCTCGCTCCGCATTCATCGTGAAAACTCGCGAGTGTTCCGCGTGCGTGACAGTGGTGTATTGACAGTGGTTTCGATTCGGCAAGTGTGAAAACGAGGATGCCGGACCGTTGGCAGCGTGCGATCTCTGCTAGACCGAGCCAGTGATCGTGGTACCAGTGAATCGTTTCGAGGGCCGTTATTTTTTTCCCTTGTCGCGCGCGTGTCCTCTCTTTCTGTTGGCCGAGAGGGATAATAGGCCGGGCCTATCAGCACAGTAGGAAAATGGCGGCTCGCCTTGCGCGAAGTAGACGACCAGGGGCAACGACAGTGTTCTTCGCGTGACGCGCGCACTGTACGCACAAACCTGAGGGAAAAGAAAATAACCTCTTTACGCGATCGGGTCGTGTACTCTGTCAAAGTGTGCGCACGGTAGTGAGTGTGTCTCTGTTCGATCGCGTTGTCGGCGCGGTGAAGGAACGGAGCTGTCGCGAGAGTGATAGAGAGGGATAGAGTGACAGACTGAGAGCCGCGGGCGAGGAAGAGGGAGGGAAAGACATTGTTAACGCATATGCATTATATACAACGCGAGTTGCGATGAGAGCGGGACGCGAGGAACGAAGGAAAGACAACACGGGAACCGAGTAACGAAGAACCACTGTGCGTCCCGTTTGTGCACGCTCGTTGTGTGCGCTCGTATGAGAGCGAGCGGCGATCACACCGGTGACAAGTGTTCCGTCGACGGGGAACTTCGCCTTATCCCCGTGTCGACAAGAAGATGATATTACAAGGCCCGCAGGAGGACCGTCGTGCGTACGTCGATCGCGATCCTCGTGCCGCCGTTTCCTGTCGTCGCCATTGAGCTACAGCCGTTTTTGCGAGAGGAGAGTGGAGGCCGTGAACGGCGGGACGATCACGACGAAAAGCCTCAGGGAAGATGAGAGGCGCGTGCGACGGCGGCATAGCGAGCTTTCTCGCTCTGGCGCTCCTCTGTTTATTCCACACGTCATACCTTGTGGACGGTATGTAATGCTTTTACTGCCCATTCCTTCTCTCTCTCTCTTTCTTTCTCTCTGTTTCTCTCTCGCGCCAATCTGCCGTCTGTCTGTTCCTTTTTCAAGTTTCCCTCCCCCTTCATCTCCTTTCCCTTTTCCTATCCGTCTGTTCCTCTACCTGTCTGTCATTCTTTCTACCGGCGTTGGGGTATAATTTCGAGAATAAACGTTTCGAATACCATTGCCAATATTAACTCTTAGGCAGTTTGAATGAAATTATATTTAAGATAAAATGCAAAATTATGAGATAAAATTATAAAATCTGAAATATAAAATGAAAATTTTAACCTCGTCGAATGTGTACTTTGAAATATATTTCTTTACAGCGATAGTAAACTGTAGGCATTATTGCGGGGAATTATACTATTTGCAAGGTGAATGCTTTTTTAGGTTAAGTAGGATTTTTATGTCGACGAAATGTTCTATTTAGGTTATTCCTACGTGAACACATTGAAACTCAACAGAGATATTTCGCCATAAATATTTTCGATGTCTTTCAAATCACGTATCGTTTTAAACATTTAATTCGAATAGATTGTTTTCTATGTACTATATAAAGTAATTTTTTACTCACCACTGCTTATTTTTAGTGCCTTTAGTTCGACCAGTGTTCCCGCTCTTTTCATCTTTCTTTTCCTTCATTTTCCGAAATGTGTAATGTTGTGTAAGCAACGCGACACTGTGCGCCAAACAGCCGATTAATCTTGTGTGCACGAGATTCTACAAGTACACGAAAAGTATTAACCGTTGCAGTCCATATGAACTCGTACCTCGGACGATTGATACGGTTGTCAATATTTTCCTCCTTTTCCTTGACAGGCTTGCCATGGATTCCTTTTCTTCGCGTTCTCTCCGCGTTAACCGAAACGTCATACTAAACTGAGCAAAGTGGTCGCGACCTGAAACTCGCGAATCTTTCTTGCACGTTGCTCTTAACGAGCTTCTCCATCGGCTGCGTGTCAACCGGTCGTTATGATCGTTTTATAACGATTGTATTAACCCTCGTGCACCGTGTTGTTTTTAATTTACATTGCATTTAAGACATAATCGGATCTATTATACGTATTGGCCCGATAATTGATATTTTATATCTTGAATTCGTTCTTCACGACATTCACGTGCAATTTGTTTAATAGTCGAGTAACTTACAAACACCTTTATACTATTATACTAAACATTAAACGTGAAATGTGGCTTTTTGTCCGTGAAATTTGATACAATATGTTTCCGTGAATTATTGAAAGACGTTACTTGACCAGAGTAGTCACCGTTGCTGGTGCACGTTTCATGGACGCCATTAATTTCAACTGTTCAAATATTCAAATCCTCGAGTATTGAAAATACACCCGGAATATTAAGCGATATTTCGATGAAAGTCTCGACGTTGTTACGTTTAAATTAAATAATTCGACTCAGTGTTTTGCTATATTCGAACGTTCTAGGTGTTCTAGTATTAAAAATAGTTTCGGTTTCTTTTTTTTTTAAAGATATAATACAAGGTTTTTCGACGCCAATTATTTGTTACGAAAACGCGTGTCTTGTGCAGCTTCGACTTTTTTTTTCATTAACGAAGCCGACGATAAGCGTTATCTCGCGATTCTGAAATCCAATCGTTTTTGACCGATACGTAATCTTTTGTCAATACATTGCAAATGTATGTATGCAATTGATTCTTTTATGAAACACATTCGGGACCGAGTCTCGAACTGATTATTGCGAACATATCCTCGCCAGCTGTTCTTTTATTTCTGCTTTCTGTCGGTCGTTAAGTAAGACACTTTCTGGTTAGCATTTTTCCTCCTGCTTGCGGCTTACTGACCTTTCTCTGACATAATTTACAAATAAACAACACCGTGCAAAAAACCCAGTAGAATGCTAAACCTGATCAGACTCTTCTCGATGTGAAAAAAGTTTCTTCAATAAAAGTTCATCTGTTTACAGACGTTTTGTAAACATTATTTATGAAACATGTTTTTAACTGTTTGTCGATTTGTTTCTTCAAAATTGGAGTTACTTCTACTTTTTAGGGATACCGTTTTATCTACTCTGAAATGTAGGTCCTCATGTATATTTATCCTAAAGTGGCGCTGTTCAATTCAACCTCTCCAACTACTTGAAATGCATTCACATTGTTCCAAATTCTGCTCGCGCTTTTGCGGCCATCTTAACACCACACAATTATTTTCGTACAAGTGTCTGATATAAGGAGCACGTATCATTTAACAAGCTTTCGGACCTCTAGGGATGTAAGGAACTTCTTGTTCGCCATTTATAACTCATAATGCCATAAACTGGTGTATAAAACGAGCGACAAGGAAAAGTAGCAAAATACTATTGACTATTGTATATTCATTCTTTTGTGCGATAGATCATAACAAATTACAGTAATTAGCTTACAGGGATCATGTTCGAATTTCTTTTGTATGTTTCTTCGAGTAAGATTTTTCAATCTTGAATTATTCAATGATAATTATATACAACCGCGTGTACTTACATCTTCGTTGACAGAAAAAAAGAAAAACTTCTTTAATATTTCATAAAATTGATCTGGAGGCAATATAGGACCGCTGACACGTGTTTAATAACCGAAATGCAGAAAGGTGGATGACATTAGTCCAATGCAATATCGATCTGAAGAGACAATGTGCGGCTCAAGTTCTACCGGCGGTACAGTTTTATCGCGGTTATCGAACACCCCCCTAACTAGCAACGTTTATTGCGCGTTGACGCCTCGGTATCGTCCTCAGAACTTATCAGCATTCTCGGCAAGGGAGGGCACCGTGGCAAACAATGACTTTCATCTTCGGCATCGCGTCGGAAAGATTTTCCCGCGGCCGTGATCCGTCATACGTCTGACGCTCCTTGTTAAGCTTTCGTAATGGATTCATCATTCACCCTTTACAGAGTAGAACTTCGAACGCTCCACCTACCGGCGGTTATTCAACAATCTCTCTTTTAAACGTAGGAATAAGTTTTTCAATGACAACAGCAATTTGAATCGCGCATCGTCGTGGCCCTTTCAAATAGGACAACGTAATTTTCTTCTTAGAGTGACTATTTAAAAGAAAATCATTAAGTTATTCACGTAAGAACCGTCAACACGATTAAGCTACAGCCTACGATAAGTTACTAAGATTATTCAGTAAAAAAGTAATTTAACTGTACGCTATGATAAGCTATTAAAATTATTCAGTAAAAAAGTAATCCAACCGTTAAAGAAGCAAGCTGCTTCTTTAGTTCGCACGATGACCAATGAATTGTTTTTACATTTGCCTGCAACTTTCATGAAGTGCAACGTACGCTCTTTTTCTAGGCATGCGTTTAGTTGTTGCGTTAAGTACGGAATTACCGGTCGCGCAAAAATCTTGTTGACAATCGTCGCTCGTTTCGTGCCAGCCATTACCCAGTTTCCACAGGGTCGAGTCGCTCGAGTCACGTCTTCGAATCCGCAGTTCTTGTTTCACGGGTTCTTACGACTATTAGCGTTCGCAGATAAAACGGTCGTAGGTTGGGGAAAAAGGCTGTTGGCATCGCGGCAACGACCTTAACGAGACGCTGTCTGCCACCAATGACGAGCGAACCGCGGACTGCGAGTACGTGATCCTCCGCGATCCGTGACGCGAATCGGTTCCAATAGAAACACGATTTTCGCCCTTAACGCCATCACTTCGCGACATGCGTTCAACGGTAGGAATTAATTCGATGCTCTCCCGTTTAACCGATTGCAAATCCACTTTTAAATGTCACTTCAGAGATATCAGGAAGTCGTTGAAGGTAGCGTCGACAGTTTCGGCATCCTTTTCCTCTATAAATTGTAAATCTTACAACTTAACACGTTGAACGCAGCGAGAGCACCGGTGAGCCACAATCGAATTGTATTACTGTATTTCATTCAGTTAAATCACGACTATTTGACAACATTTCTATATTATAAATAATGCTACCCAATACGGTGACATTCAGCTAGATGAACGTGCAACAAAAATAATGCAATTCAATCGAATGATTTAACCCTCCGACAAGAATGTTTTACACTTTTCGAAAGCTTTTCCATAAGACAGCTCAATTATGCATCAAAGTCTCACATACTAGACAAATGAAACTACATATCAATCTCTCATTACTTGAATAATTAAATTATTCGTTTGCAGTTTTCGAAATTATAAGTCAAAGCTTGAAGGCTCCATTATAGTGGCATTCGGCGGCAAAGGGTTAATATTACGCGTATGATACTCTATGAAATCGTGCGGCATTTAACGTGCTAATCGTAAATTCGTCATTTCCGATGAATAAGAAAACAGGTCGAAGAACGAGCACCTATGTTCGGCACAGAAAAGAAAGGAAGAAGAGAAGAAACGGTGGCCTTTATGAATCCTTTATCGAAGCTGCCCGTTCGAGGCTGACTCGATTCTTGGGCAGCAACGTGTTCGGCGCGAGGCTATAGTGCAAGAGGGTTTCAGCTTCGCGAAAGACCGATTCACGGCAATAAACAAACCTCACAACAATGTATCCGGCGGCTTAAGTGAGGTTGATAATAACAAGAATTTATATTTAGCGAATCGAGTTTCCAATCTGCGCGACGTGGGTGTATCTCTCTCTCTCTCTCTCTTTCGCCCTCTCTCTTTTACTCTCTCTCTCTTTCTCCCTCTCTCTCCCCCTTTCTCTCTTTCTCTCTCTCCCTCTCTCTCGAATCGCGGAGGAAACACTCGTGTAATCTCCCGCGCCTAACAATACGCGCCCGACTGGGTACAGATTTATCCCGTTGGATAATAAATTCCGTGGTTGAATTAACACGTGTTACACGGGCACTTCGTGAATTACAATTTCGCATTTCGCCAGCGTGGGTGTTATACGCTTCCTCCGCTTTCCATTTCTCCTGTGTAGGCGTGTCTTTCCCCGTTCCTCGAGAGGAAACGCTCGTGTAATCTTCTTAATCCGCCGCGTACGTTTAACGCCTCCTCCGTTTC